CCAGGGGTGCTTAACCACTGAGCCACATCCCCAGCCCCGGGCCTTGCATATTAATCAAGCACTATCACACTGACATATCCTCAGCCATAGAACATTTCTATGCTTTTCTTTATGTCTCTGTCATAAGTATAAATTATTTTGCGTGAAAAACAGTTGGAACTGGGCAGTGGTACTACAGAGCTGTAATCCTAGCTTTTAGCTACTTAGGATGAAGAAGGAAGATTGCAAATTTAAGGCTAACCTGGCTAACCGAAACCCTGTCTCAATGTTAAAAAGAGATGATTGGAGGGCCTGGGGTTGTGGCTCAGCACTACAGTGCTTGCCTTGCCTGTGTGAGGCACTGGGTGCAATCCTCAGAACCACATAAAAAATTAAAAGTATTGTGAAAAAAGGTGGGGGATTGGGTAGTTGCCTAAAGTGCAAGGTCCTGTGCCCAATCCCAAACCCTTTACCCACTCCCACCCCCTCAAAAAAACTTGACAATTTTTTTTTTTTTTTTTTTTTGGTATGGGAACCTTACTGCTGACCTACATCTCCTGCCTGCCCTTTTAAGTTTTGAGACAGGTTCAAGTTGCTGAAATTGGCCTTATAATTATAGGCATGCACCATCACCCTGCCTTAGAATCCTTTTGAGAGCTTAGCCCTAGTGCCCTAAAATCTACTGGGCCCTACCTCTAAAAGGTTCTGTACCATCCAGTAAGCACCAAGCCAAGAAATGACTTTGATRTGAGCCTTTGCTGAATATTTCAAGTGCATAACACTGCATACTTTGCTCTACTTGTTTATGCCTTTCTAGAAGGTAAAGTCATGGTATCAGAGGCATTTCAATCTTGCATATCCCAAGATCTTATACATAATGCTGTTTACCAAGAGCCTGTCCCAAAATGGCCTGGGAGTGTAGCTTGGTGGTAGAGCACCCCTGGGTTCAATCCCAAGTACCACAAGAAGATGAATACATTGAGGTGGAACATCCCTACTGATGTAAATGGTTGGAGGCTAATACTGATTCGCACCCTACTGGTCTAGAATGCTTGTCCCTAATGGGATACTGTGGTATTGCATTACAATGACAAAAAGATTGATTTGGTCTGTCTCTAGTTCTGTGCCAGGTACTGGACCCTTTAGATTTCCTAGGTGAAGAGGAATAAGGGAGATAACAGGTGAAACAAGCATTTTTTGTTCATCACAAGCACCTTTGAACCACACCTGAGTTTTATGTTAGTGTAAGGGTGACTTAAAAACCCTATCAGTATAGGAGCTATTTACCAGGAAACCCACCCATGTAAGTGGGTGGAAATTTCACACCACTTCCCTATCTCTGAGGTTATATATAAGAAGGGGCTGAGATTGACTTACCAATGGCCAATTATTGAATGAATCATGTCCCTTCCATGTGACCTTGCTCTGTGTAGTTCTTCCATCTCATCATTTGAGCATCTCCTTTGTTTAGGGTTTTGTTGTTGTTGTTGTTTTGTTTTGTTTTTTGTACAGCAGATTGAACCCAGGGGTGCTTAACCACTGAGCCACATCCCCAGTCCTTTTAGAGACAAGCCTGGCTGAGTTGCTGAAGCTGGCTTTGAATTTTGCCCCAGCCTCTGGAGCCACTGGGATTGTGGGTATGTGTCATCACACTTGGCTATTTTATGATAAACTGGTAATCTAGTAAGTAAACTGTTTTCCTGAATCTTGTGTGCTGCTCTACAAAATTATCAAACTTGAAGAGGGAGACATGAGAACTACAAACCAATAAATGACATGTAACTGGTCAGTTAAAAAATAATCTTGAGAAAGGACTGGGAATGTAGYTCAGTTGGTAGAGTGCTTGCCTTGCATTCATAAGGCCCTGGGTTCAATCCCCAACACCACTAAATAAATAACCAGACACCAGCTAGTGTTGGTGGTGCAGACCTGTAATCCAGGTGTTTGGGAGGCTGAGATAGGAAGACCTCAAGTTGGAGGCCAGCCTAGGCAATGTAGTTTGGGACCTTCTCATAATACAATTTAAAAACTGCTGGATAGATCAGTGGTAGGGCACTTGCCTGGCATACATATAAGGGGATTTGATGCCTATCAATCACACATAAACCCAAAACAACAAAGATGCGTGATTGTCATTTGAGTGGGGACTGAGTCTTGTGAGACTGAATCCTTAACCTGTGGAGATCTGATGCTAACTCCAGGTAGTATAAGGATTGTATTTTGAGTTTTAGAACACCTGTCTCAATTCTAAAGAGGGGGACAATAAGTTAAAAAGGGGAAAAACTGTCCCTGAGTGCCCCCTTTTTTTATTTTGCAAAAAAAACCCTAGCCAAAGGGAAAATGAGAGCAAACCTAGGCCAGAAAGTCTAGATACATATGCAAATACTGGAGATTGGTCTCACTAAATTACCCAGATTGACCTTGAAATTGTGATCCTACTGCCTCAGCCTCCAAATGGCTGTGATTACAACTATGCTCTGTGTCACCACATGGCAGATACATATTACCTTGAAAGACACTGGCTTTCTTTTGTACATGCTGAAAACCAGAGCAAGTTAGTTTTATCTGAAGAAAGCCGTTTTACTGCATGTACATCTGGACAGTTACTCCTTGGAATGTTGGTCATATAAGCAAGTTAATGCTGATGAAGTCACTGCTTCTGCAGCCTAATGTAAAACCCTTCTTTGGGGCCTGATGTGGAATGGAGGGCACTGTGAAAAAGGGTATCTAGCTGGCCACTACCCAACTAACACCATGAGAGGAGGCAGTGCTTGGTGAAACATCATGAAGGTTGAAGGTGCCATCTGCTCAGCCTGTTGCTACTGAACTCTTCTTGGAAGTCACTCATCTRCCCCAATGTCATGTCTCCCTCACTGTGTCCAGGCACTTTGGCTTTCCAACAACCTACCACACTGACCTGGCATAATTGGGCTGTGGCCATGACAACACCCAGAGAACTGAGTTTGGGAAAACCCCACACATGTGGAAATTAGAATTATTAATAAAAATTTGTTTTCCTCATAGTATCAACATCTTCATCCTCCCCCCCCCCCTTTGGTGCCAGGGATTGAACCCAGGGGCAATTAACCACTGAGCCACATCCCCAGCCCTTTTAAAATATTTTATTAGAGATAGGGCCTTGCTAAGTTGCTGAGGCTGGGTTTGAACTCATGATCCTTCCACCTCAGCTTCCCAAGTGGCTGGGATTATAGGCATGCACCATTGTGCCAGGCTTCTTCATCCCTTGTGGGGAAATTGAGTCACTGCTTACTATGCCCTTGTAAGGTGATGAGTGTGGTAATTATCCACTTATAATAGTTAAGAAACTGTTATCCTAAGAAATGCCCAAGGGAGACCCCAAAGCCCTGAATATCCTGCCTTGTCGTGCAAACCCTCTTTCATAATAACCAGGCCAATTTTGCTGCTAATATACTGACACCTTTATTTGGCTGGTGGCCAACCTTTAAAAAAAAAAAAAAAAAAAAAAAGCCCTAAATAATCAGGCAGCGATTGTAGCTTTAGGTTTAGTGGAATCCTTACTGTGGACCCTGGTGAAGTGTGTGTCCTATGCTTAGAACAACCAGAAATGTCCCAAGGCTGCTGGAGTGATGAGGCCACTGTGTTTACACTTAATGTTCTCCTGGGCCTTACGTATTTTATCCACTGGGAATCCAGCCTTCTATGATGGACATTAATTGTAAATACGGGATTTCTCCTTATACAGTTTGTTAGGTAGAGTTCATAACTTTCCACAGACATTAGGAATATTGGGCATATAGTAAGGGAACGGCAGATTCAACTGMAGTGATCATGTAGGGCTTTCTAGGGGAAGCCAAGCTTTTGAACTACACTTAAAGAATGTTCTAGCTACTGTGCTAACAGATGAGGTGTACGAAGTGTATGCAGAGGTCACTTCTCCATTTAAGATACTGGTGGCTTGAATTAAGGTGACAGTATTTGATAGGTTATTTTTGGAGCTGGAGTGGACAGAGTTTGATCCACTAGACATGTGGGCTGATAGGGACCTACAGCCTACTCTGGAGAGAATAAATGGAATTGGTATCTTTGAAAATCAAACACTGGCTGGGGTCTTTGGATAGAACCTAGAGGCCCTTTACTACTGAGCTGCACCCCCAGTTATTTTTGAGACAGGTTCTTGCCAGGTGGCCCAGGCTGGCCTCAAACTTGTAATTCTGTTTTAGCCTCCCAAATTGCTGGGATTATAGGTATACACCACCACACACAAGTTTGAAATATGTAAGCCATACAAATGCAAAGGTGCCATCTAGAAGAAAAACATGTCTGAGGAAACCCTTTGGTTCCTAATTAAACCATAAAATAAGGTCAAGGTCTGAGGCTTTAGTGTACAACCAACTGAACAGTCATTGCTTTTCTCTACATTAACAAGGAGTCTCATGAAATTTTATTCAATTTCAAGAGTACAGACAAGATGCAAGTTTCACAGTTAAACACAAATAATGAATGCAGCAATATCACTGGCTTAGATGGCTGTACTTGAGGTTGTTCAGAGTGCCAAGAGCTATCTGGGTTACCAGCTATCCGGTTTCCTCCATTCTTCAACTGTTTGCTGTGCCCGGCTCCATTATGCCTAACTAGAATAGAAATGAGGTGTATTTACAGAGAAAATATTTTATCCTTAAAATAGAATGTAGAACATCTTTTTAAGTAATAAAAGCTTCAGTTTATAACCAGGTCACTTATTTCCAACTAGTTTATTTAAGTGAACTTAATTTTAAGCACAACTTTCAATATTTTAAGAAATAAACAAATTTGTCCCTTCAATTCTTTTGTCCTTAATGAGCTAGCAGCCAATTCATGCTAAAATATTATTTTTTTCTTTGTAGTCTTAAGGATCAAACCGAGGGCCTTGTGTATGTTAGGGAAGTACTCTGCCACTAAAGCTGTGTTATGTATGTTATATACACACACACACACACCTTTTGATTGTTTACAAATGGGTCTCTGAGCAGTCTACAAAAGCAAGGAATCTGCAGCTTTTTACCACTCTCATCTAGATAATACATCAGTGGAGCTTTAAATTTCGGATTAAGAGGGACTAAAGTGACAGTGATTTAAGTACATTTGTAAAGTGCTCTCATTCTTTCACTTCATTAATAAGTGCACTGGAGAATGAAAATGGCTGATTTGCCAGATTCCTAAACTGCCCATAGTTAAATAGGGATAGGGTGGGGAGAAGAGTTGGGAGGCTTTTCTCATCCAGTTTTCAATTATATCTAAGTTTGTGTTCAGATTATAATCCACTGGAATTCAATTTACAAGACAAGACAAAAGTACTTATCAGATTTTTCAGTTTCCATTTAAAATCAAGCCTACTGAAAACCCTTTTTATTCCCAATATTTTAAATCTTTAGGCCTCAGTAGGCTGGTGAATAGAAATACCTCATATTGATACTAAAGGACTAATATTACATATTAAAAAAAYCATGGTAAGGCAATTTAACAGATTTCTTACAGAAATGCTTATTAATCTACTTTACATGGCAACTGTGAATAGCAACCGAGGAAAATTTTTACAAAGTAAATTTTATAGTCTAATATACATATGCCAACGTTGGCATCTATATTTGAAGTCAACCCACAGTGGTGGTGCGTTATTTTCTATAAGCAGCCTACTTCAGTGAACAGTAAAAATTCATTAGTACTGTCCCTACAACCTTGAGATAAATCAATCATCTGTAAGATTTTCAAACATTTTTACATATTAGAAGTCCAAATGATTCTATTTTTTGATACATTTACAACAAAGTAAGAATCTTCAAAAGCCAATAGGAAATGCCTTGCCTGGTCCCTATGGTGGGCTAAGGTACAAAGGAAACTGTTGAAAGATGACTTATGGGAATTCCTTTCATTTCCTAGTGATCCTGACAGAAGCAATATATATATTGTTCTCACCAAGGACATGCATAAACACGTATCATTAGGACTCCTCTTTTAAAAAAACCAACACCCCCCCACCCACAGCACTAGAAATCAAACTGGTGCCTCACACACACTAGGTAAGCCTTGACCACTGAGCAACATCCAATCCCAATTTTTGAGACAGTCTAAATTGTCCAACTGGTATCTCCAGCTTTCATTGCTCCTGACTCAGCCTCCCAAGTACCTGGGATTATAGGCATAAGCTACTRTACCCAGCTTTCTCTCCTTTTTTAATAAGGTATGTAAGTGTACATTCTCTATGGAGGTGACTTCACCCCAAGGGGGAACCAAAAAGTCTTACTCCTTTCATATATAAAGCACAGACACAGTACATACACAGCGTATCTATGATATTAAAATTTATTGGGGATGCTACTAGGAAAAAAATAAATTTCTTGGGGGAGACGCAGAAGAAACACTGAACCAGAGGTTAATCTCTTAAATGTGCATTTTTCCCTCACCACCATCATAATCATGTTAAAAAACCCCGTGGCCGTTTTGGTATCTGGAATGAATATTTATGGGAACAAGAATTTCTAGGACAATAATCCTAGAGAAGGACTAAGAAATTTATCAGCTCTAAACACACATTTAATTATAGCATCCAAGTGGAAACTTATGCTTAGAAACTGACACCAAACTAGGAAAATCAACTTAACATTTATCCAATCATAAAATTAAAAGTACAAGTTTAACATCTTTATTAAGAATTACATATTTGAGGCCATAGGTTGGCACTGGCAGCTGAGTTTTAAAATTCAAAATGAAAATCTGCAATTGTTTTATAAAGCATTCCCTTTCTTCATATCATACTCACAGATGACTTATCCATTTACTAAATACTGTAGTAAGTAAACACTACTGTGTCATTATGAAGAAAAAA